TCAGCAGGGATAGAACTGGGCTGCAAGCTCTTCAGGCAACTTGCAGAAGGCAGGCTCTCACCTGTTTGCTGTGGTTGTGCTGTTTGCTTTCTTAGCTGGGGCCTTCTTCTGTTGGGTTTGTTTTGGTGGCTGAGCCACCTTGGGTTTCTTCTCCTCCTCAGCTTTTACTTTGTGCTTTTCTTTTTCCTTCTCTTTATCTTTCTTTTTCTTTTCTTTTTCCTTCTTCTCTTTTTTTTTCTTTGGTTTGTTCACTGGTGCTTGTGACAACGCAGCTAGCTGCTCATGAACAGCTTTTAGCTGGAGGAGAATAGTGAAAAAAGAAGTCAGACTTTAAAGCAAGACAACTGATGCCTCCACATACCCTTCCTCTACATAACATTGTGTAACCATATCCCAAAGTCACTGATCAAGCAGTTTAGTGATTGAACTCGGGAGACTTCGCTTGACTGAAATTCTTTTTAAAAAATGTAGTGCAAGTACACAGAAGGTGACTCAAATGAAAACATCGTTGTTTTATAAGGGCAAATAAAAATTAAGCTTAATAGCACCATCTAGAGTGTTGACAACTTGGCCTCTGGAATCCTGCGTTCCCTTCTCGACTCTCCTAGTAACTTGTTTTGAGACACCAGATAAGCGATTTTACTAATGCTCTGTTTTATTATGGTAGCACAAGTAAGCAAGGCCATAGCTTTATCGTCTGCAACCACAACAATCAGAACAGCTCGCTTCTACAGATGGGGTACAGCAGGACACTATCCCACAGGAAGCTTGTGACAGATTCATTATGCCTGAGCTCTCAATGGGTGTCTCTGTTCTTCGCAGATCCCTAATATTGCGTGCACCTCCATTCATACTCTGGGATCCCAGAAGGAAGTGCAGAGTATCAGCATTGAGAATGGCCATCTCGAAGAAAAGAAACACTGCATCAAACATGCACTTATTTCACAGCTGAGCCTTTTTCCTGTTTAGCTGGCAGGAGACTGCTTTGCTGTATCCTAGCCTAGATGGGATTTTGAAGAACAAAATTAAACCCTTCCTCCTGCTATGCCCTTTCTACCGCACAGAGACACAAACAGCTTGGCCACTGCACTACCTGCTCCTGGAGCTCCGCCAGCCGAGTCGCTCGCTCTTCTTCTGAGTCTGAGCTATCCGAGTCGGAGGAGCTCTCCTCACTGCTGTGACTGCTCTCTGTGCTTTTGCTCACCACTGGTGCTGTTGGTGGAGGTGGAGGGGGGGCCTCTGCAGGCTCATCAGGCATCTTCGCGAACCTCATCTCAAAGACATCCTATGGAAATAGAAGAGAGGAAACTGGTGACAAAAGGAGCCTCAGCCACAAAAACCTCACACTCTGGCCTTTTAAACACACCAGACACCTCACCATGGGTCAGGGTCTTACTGCATTACACAAGCTGCTGCACACGTAAATTATAATGTACAGATGGGCATACATACTCTGTAAACCCAAGAAAGTTCTCCCATTACTTTATACAGCAACAATAACATTTTAGGATTGGAATGTGGCATTGGGCTGTGCCATGTGAAGGACACAACAGTTCTGCAGCAAGAGAACATGGCTCTTTCCAAGGGCTGCAGGAATCGCTGACTCTCCCTTCTTGGTGCCAAGAGCAGACCCACAACTGGATGTCTGAATAAACACCTTGCAGCCGAACTAAACATACTCCAGAATTTGCCAACACCTTTACCTGGAGCTTCCTGGCCATGGCTACCACTTCATGGTCTGGAGGATTGTACTTGTAACAATTAGAGAACATTAACCGAATATCTGCTGCAAAACCTTGTGCATCCTGGTATTCCCGACTGTCCATTTTTTTCTGCAAACAAAGAAGCCAAAGGGAAAGGGGAAAAAAAAGCCATAAGCAAAAGGCATTTGTAGCAACTGCATGGAGGACACATGCATCTTGGAGACAGCTCTGAACAGCATCAAAAATTATATTCGTCTAAGAGAAAAGAAGTTTGATCTGGCTTATTAGTTCCTAAATAACATTCAGAGTTTCTGCTTTTTAAAACAAGCAAACAAACACCAGGCAGCCAAAGAAGTTGACATGGCTCCAGAACAGTTTAAACACATTAAGATTCTAAATCTGGATTGTTTTCTTTTTCTAAATAGTGCTATATAAATCACTCAGGGTCCACATTCTATTAGAAAATAGTGTCATGTAGAAAAAGGGTTTGCTGGATCAGAAACTAACGCAAACAAGGATCATGGACAGGAAAGGCAAGAGTCAACAACCAACCAAGCTACGATTACAGGAGTACATTAAGCGTATATTTCTACATGCTGCTTGGCTACATTTTCCCTGTAAATCTGAAAGGGCAGAAGAGATCATGATTATCCAACTCTGACTTCTTGCTAATACACAGCATGAATTTTGCTTGGCGATTTCTACAGGAAGACAGGCATTTACAGTTAAACTGCAACACCTACTCTTGATTTAAAAGTCCAACTGATAATGGATACAGAATTCACCCTTTACGAATCTATTCCTAATGTTATTTCCTACTGCAGTGAAGATAAGTATCAGGAGCTAAATATTTGCTCCTTGTTTCTTACTTTTCAGCTCTCACTTTTGTCCATTTCTCTTGGTGTCTGGGACTGAATGGCTTGGGTTTAGAGAACGGTTCATAGCCTTCCTAGAACTTAATTGATTTTATGCATACATTACTACTATGCATAAAACCTTAGCTCCAGTTACTCCGACTGAAAGGAAAAAGCAGCCAACACTAGATTTCATTTGCATTTAAAAGACCTGGGTTTAATAAAATTCCCTATTTGCCAAGTGCTTACAGGCCTCTCTTTTGTACATCTGGTGCACCTGTATCCCCCGGTGCGGAGCAGGGGCTGACTGGGAGACAGGCTGCAAACGTGACCAGGGCACACGGCCCCCATCCAAAACAAAACAGGGGCGCTCAGGGTCTGTAACCCACGCTGGAAACCTTAACACAAGCAAATTTCCCTTTCTTCAATAGAAGCTCCAAGTATTTCACAGCTACACAGTGCAACTATCTTGAAATACTGCAATGACTCCTAAAACTGTTTTTGCTCCCAACAGGGCAGAATTTCACCTCCAGGGATGCGGCTTTGGAGGAATCCGCACGCAGGGTGGTGACATTCCTGCAGCCTTATTCTCTGCTGTGCTGCAGCCAGACACCTGTCAAATTTTTGTCAGGAGACCTCATTCACGTCTCTGAGCCCCAGCACAAAGACAGAAAGGGAAGGTTTGTGCTGCTCCTGTCTGAAGGAGAGCTGGCCTTGTTTGAAAAGTATCTCAGGCCAGTTCCAAAGCAAAACATATGTTCAACCAAAAGGACCCATTTATTTTAGAATACATCTTACGGCAATGAAAGGCCTTTTTGATGCACTCATATTTGTTTGGCATACCCAATGGCTGATGACTGCCTATGCAATACATTTCAGTGTCTGACACTTCACTTTAATCCAAACCCAACAGTTCTCTAGCCCAACAGTTTTAACCTGTGGAATTTCATTTTGTTTTCTTGTAAAGAATAATTAACTTAACAAAAGGGAAAAAAATACTTTCAGTCAATGGGCTGGAATACCTTCGGTTATAAATTCACTTTGAGATTCACAGCCAGCTCAGCTACAGCCCCTCCCCCAACACAGTCACAACAGTGCCTCCTCTACCGCACACAGAGAAAACCATCTCCAAATCCTTCTGAAGCACCCCTCTGATGGGTGCATGGCCTGAAAACAAAATGCTCCTGGACAGGAAGGACATTCTCTGAAGAAAATCAAGCCTCATATAACCAGAGAACCAAAGTGACAAGCAACCAGGTATTGGGGAACCTACTACAGCTGCAGCAATGCTTCCGTTTTACTTTCTCTTGCAACTCCTTCAAGATTAGTTTGAAGGCCATTAGTTGCACTGCTTCACCACCTACATTGTCATTTGCGCAGAATTAAATCTAAAACCTTTCATATCCACAGAGAAAGCCCTTGACACTGGAGAATTGCACTGCCTGCAAAAGGCAGGTTTCTGTCCTGTGCAGTTAATGTATTATAGACTGCATCTCGGAGAAGCCACACTATGATCTACAGGCCAAGAGCAATGATAATAAAACACTCCATAAAAAACCAATACCAGACAGCACTTCAAACAAGTTTATTAAGAAAAATACTACCACATGGAAAGACAATTCCAGAGTCTTTACGTACAAAAGACTCCACAGGATCTGCCATTAACTCGTCTCCAGATTTCTGCCCTACACTAGTAAGGTACCGAGGGAGAGCATCACTTCCACCTGCAGAAACAGGGAGAACTTAGGAAGTCAAGGAAATATGCCTAAGCTGAGAACAGGTCTGGAAGGACGATGTTTACCAGCAGTCGCACTAAAGTCAGTGCAGAACCTGAATGAGCTCATCTAGGACGTGATCATGTAACGACTTGTGTTCACAAGACTAGTGGAGAACAGGCATCAACAACGCTTCATCACTCTGATAACAGAGAACAGTTGCACTCAGCAAGAGATACTCCTTCCCATCTTAGTTATTTCTGCAAACCAGGCATCCTTCGAAAGTCCTTTAAAGCTACCAGCCAGTTGATAGGCTCTTAGGACAGATTTTGATGTGTAGCCTATGATAAGCACGGGCAATTGTAACTGCATGCACAGTAAACATCACATATGAAGGTTCCTGATGCCACCAAAGTGCTGCATCTCTGATCTGACTTAAAGACCACCACAAAAAACCCCATCTGAAAGCTGTTCCTGCTCCTGAGCATGGTCAGATCCACTCAGCTGAGAAGATGGTGGCCATGGAAGGGAGCAGATACAAGTGTGTAAGTGACCCTGCTTGGAGCAGGAGGCAAACCTCCTGACCAACTTGAACATTAGCCTATGATCCAAGCCATGTAGATGGACCTTCAAGCTGGTGTGAAGAGCAACTCCAAATCAAAGCAAAGGGAGCAGACCTTGACAGCAAGTCATAGAATTAAAACAGTGGATGAGCATTAAGGAGGCCTTCAGCACTGGGCATCCAAAATCAGCAGGATGGCAAATGCACTGCAGTACCAAAACTATGGGGAGCTTCTTCCTCCCTCAATCACGCTCAAGAGCAAGAAAAAATGGAAACATACCCAAGAAAACATCAGGATCTTCTTCTACTAGCAGAATATTAGAGCCAGGCACTAGTGCTCCAGCTTTGCAGACTACCATCTTCAACCTAGCCCTTTCTCCTGCTTTTACCACTGTATTTCACGCTCCTTCTTGCCTGCAGCTCCACTCACCCTTTGTCTTGCCCTCTTCTCCTCCCAGGAAATTGCTGCGAGCTTTAACATAGCTTGGCTTAATTGCAAGTTAAAAATACTGCACATTGCCTTTCTGTAAAAAAGCCAAGGGCACTGCAAGCTCAGAAGAATGGTTTCCAAGCCCAGCTCTACCAGAGCCTGCTTACAATGATTTATCAGCTCAGAGATGGTCTTTTCTGTACAAATCCAACCAAAAATAGTGCTTAGCACTTTCCACATATCTGTCCTCACAACAGCCCTGTGAGGTAGGTTAAGTATTAGTATCTTGATTTTATGACTGGGAAAACTATGGCACAGAGCTGTGGGGAAACTTGCCCAGGACCCATAGCATCAGAATGGCAATTAAAACTCAGACATCGGTAACTCCTGGTCTCATCCTCAATGCACAGACCATGACAACTATTCTCTCATCACTAAATAATGCAACTAAAATACTCGTAAAAATATTGCAGCTGTAGTAAGAACCCTTGCAGCGTCATAGCTGAAGGGCATGGCACATCAGAGCACAACTCACTGCTTCCAGGTACTATGTACGATTTGCCAAAAAAACCATGAAAGGAATCAGGAGCACGGCTGCCCTTTTGTCACCTGGGCATTTAGACAATCCCAGGCTGGCTCAGCTGGCAGCAGAACACTTCTAAGGAAAGCCAGCAGCAGAAATACCTTCACTTCCTGCACGTGGAAGAAAGTCTCACCTCCACCAACACCGATTCCAATGGCCGGCTGACAAGCAGGAGATGAGAACTAGAAAAAAACCACAGCTTTGCTCCATGGATATTTAGGAGGCAATGAGAGAAACCTCCCAGCCTACTGGGAAAAACACTTTTAATATTGAACCATACTAAGCTAAGCTCTTGAATAGCCAAGCATGGACAACGCAAGCATCACAGTATTTCTTCCCCTTCCCGAGTACCAGGCGATCATCACGTTCCAGTTGGAATTGCTCAGCGTAAGCCTATCTGGACCACACATCATGCCAACAAGTAGGCAGGCAGCAGCTTCTGGAAACGGGATACTATAAATCAAATTCTATGAAATACAGCACCACTTCTTCTCAGAGCGCAACACAATCCCAAGGATACAAGTTTAAAGAGCCGGACTATCCACAAAGAGGCGAGGATGCCATCATAGTCTGCTTTGTAGGGCAGAAAAAAAACCAAGATGTCCCAGGTTATGGGAAAAAAGGAGAGGGGAAAGAAACAAAAGATAAAAATATCCAGATGATATCCAAACGGGTTGAGTTTTCCACCCTTGTCCCTTCCCCCTCCCCCAGAAGCAGCCAGTCCTCTGCAACCAGAGGGCTGTGACACCCTGCAAAAGAGGTGGTAAATGTGGACGTACTTTAACAGTACTGAGATCCATGGGGTGTTTGATAATATCATGATAGTCATGTAATTCCAAGGCCTCTGCATCAACAGGCTTGTAAAAGGGCCATGCATAGGCTGCATGCTTCTTCGAGAGCATCTCCTTGAGAATGCTGTCACAGTACTTGAGGTGCTCAGAGAGTTTGCCTTTCTTCCCTGCGTGCTGGGGCACCTCTCCGTCTTCAAGGTCTTTCTTTGGTGGTTTGATGGGCCGGCCGCCGCTCTCCCGTCGAGCGATGATTTTGGCCTGCTTGGGGTCCGAGAGGGGTGTGGGTGACTCGCTGCGGCTGGCAGTGATCGCGGAGGTGGTAGGGGTTGTCGTGTCTGCTTTCCGCTTCACTCCCTTTTTCTGAAACAGCAGATGGAGAGACTTCATGACTATGTGCCCAGCTCTCATGCTACACTAGCAGAAACCTAGCACAATTCACCCTTACTTTTTACATCTATCTGTCCTCTGACAGAAAATACAATTACTTCACTGGGATAAATGGGACCTGTGACTAGAGGCTTCAAAACCCAATTCAGTGACTACAACACGATGTAATACTACACGTCATCTGAGCCACAGTAACCAGTCATTTGCACATCTCCAACCCAACCCCAAACATGATGCAAAACGTCTTAGCTCTATGTATGTCACTGAGATTTAAACTAAGGACTCTTACCTCACATTTGCCAAGGGAAAGGAGTGCGCCCAGTCGATTACTGCAGCTCAGCTGATGCATCATGACTTAGTAAGTGTCAGTAACTTAACCACATGTCTGAGTCCCCAGTGGCAGGATCAGGCTATAAGTTCTGAACCAAAGCATATTAATCACCAAAGACCCATGAGCCTTCAGTTCCTTGTATTTAGTGGGTGAGCTAGGTAGAGAGCTTATTATGGACAAGAGCAAGAATTTAATGATTTTGCCTTAAGCAAATAAAACCTCTCTCACATAAATTCAAGCTGCGACTGTCCAGTCAGCTCTCTCGTGCTCCTATGAAGGATTTATTTCTCTGGAGAGAGAAAGGGGAAAAAAGTTCCTTAGGGAAATCTAAGGGAAATCTTAAATAAATCCCAAGCAGAATTAATTTTGTAGTGTGTATTTGGCAAACTCACTAGAGTTCATCCTTGAGTTTTAAAATTAAATTGATTCTCAGAAGCAAGTTATTTGGACAGAAACTGAAGTATGAGAGACTTCTGAGGAGGACAGCTTAGCTGCAAGTAGATCTGACTTACAAATTCTCTAGTAATTCCCAAGAAATAAGCAAAACAATCCCATGGCTCTGCTGGCCCACGCAACCTCATCAGAAAACACCAATAGTGTTGCAGCTAATTGTCCAGTTTAGGAAAAAAACCCACCAGCTTTCTCTGAGCTATGCTTTTATCATTTCTAAAGCAATACACAGCTTGCTAGGAAAATCTCAATTATTTAGAGCAACATTTTCATTTGTCCATAAATTACCATAGTAAACAGCAGTGGCAACTCCCAGGAGATTACTCAGTAAGGAAGAGAGAACTAATGCACTCAAAACCTGCAGGCAACATCAGCCTCCTCCAACTGGAGTGACAGGCCTGTCTTGAACTGGTTTATGGCAGAGAGGAACATTCCTACTGCTGGAGTCTGCAAACCTTAAAGGAATAGCCCCAGTAAAATGAGGGATTCAGTCACACGGGGAAGAGATGGTGCAAAATGAGGGAAATCAACAGCCCTGTGGTTCATGGAGCATCAGCACTGGCTAAGGCTGTGGTCAGATGAGAGCTTGTAACTGAGACGGAGCAACTACAGTTGACATCACCTCAGCTGGAGTGGGGTAAAACTGGCAAAACTTTTCTCAGTCCTCTCAGACTTGACAGCAAGCACTTGTCTGAGCACATCCCACAGGAATAACGATGGCCAGAGAGGCAAGGAGTCAAATGTGGAGAGAAGGAACGTACATAACTAGCAGTGAGGGGATGAAAATAAAGCACTGCTTAGCAATATCTGAAGAGTTCTCCATTTACCTTGACTACCGGTGGCGTAGGAGGCACCACGGGAATTATCGGAGCAGCAGGCGGAGGGGGAGCAGCGGCGGGAGGGGCAGTGACAGGCGGGACATTAGCAGTGATGGTTGGCACGGGGGTGGCAGCAATGACGGGCGTCTGAGACACGGCTGGAGGGACGTTCTGGAACGGGGCCGGCGGGGAGACGGAAGACACGGCCACTGCTTGCTGCGCTCCTTTCAAACGACAAAGTGAAAACACACTGCAATGTACTGATGGTTACAAGTGCCGACAAGACATTGGGAACAAAGTGACAACAGTGACGCTGGACTGTGCAATATGGGCTTGGCAAAATGCTTCCAGTCCAGGGCCACAAGAAGAGCACAAAGGACACGGTGTGATTTGCTTGGTGCTGTTACCCAGGGGTCAACAAAAAAAATGAGGAATCACTGACCTAAGTCTTCGTACCACGAGCTTTAGGCCAGCCACATACAAGCAAAATACTTCAAGATTTGCACATGGGGTGTGTGTTGCTCTGGGACAGTCTTCACTCCTCTCATGCTCTCAGAGCTACCCCGTGCTCAGCTAAAGGGCTGGATCTCAAGGAGAGGGACCGGAGATGGTTCTTTTGGATAACTGCTGTCCTGCACAGACATCAACCTGTGAGCATTTTAGCTATGCAGGGCAAATGGAACACACCCCTACTGCCAGCTAAACACCCAAGAGCCCAAAGCATCCTGGATTTGCCTCAAGTTACACAGCAAAAGAAACAGAGCTGGGAGTAGAGCCTAAGTATCCTGATAGTCAGGACAGTCTCTTATGCCAGACCTGCACTGTTAAAGAACTGCCCACTAGTGTAAAGTTCAGAGGGACAAGTCTAGTGACCCAAGCAGCAATACTGCACTATGGTTTTGTAGCAGCTTTTATCAAAGGATGCTGAAAAGACACATCATCACAAATTTCTCTGAGCTTGGACAAAGTTGTAGCTCCATTTGGCACCTGAGATGTGGGAAAACAAAGAACAGTTGACTTTCCCAGAACAACAATTAGACCTTGTTTACAGAAAAAAAAAAGCAACAGTTTAATTCAGCCTACACAAGCTACTTTATGAAATGTTTTACTGTGCTTATAGAAGTTTTAGTCCTAAATCCATTTAAAATCAACTCTAGGTAAGCTGACATAAACTTAGTTTCTACTGATATACAATGGTCTACAGACCCTTTTGCAACGGCTTAATAAATCCTTTCTGTTGACCAAACTTTATCCTATGATGTTGCAAGTGTCTGTGTAAAAGAAAAATGTTATACAGGGTTTGGAGGATTGGCAAGATTTAAGTCTGACTCTCTGCTGTGTCAGACGCCTGCCAGGACCTCAGATGAGCTGCATAAACCCAGGTCTATAAGGAAATCCATGCATGGCCTGTCTCTTGCAGCAGACAGACACGTCTAACTGCCTTGCCTCAGTTTCTTCTTTGCATACAGGAAGCAACAGCACTGCCCTCCCTCACTGAAGCACTGAGTGGATGGGAGTCACAGACGGTTTCATGTTTGCATGACAAATTCACAATATTCTGAAGACAGACAAGCCCTGAAACATTGGGTGAACATTATCTAAACATCTCTCATTTTCAGAATATGTGCTCCCTTCCTCTTCACCATTTGCAAAGCCAGGCAGCTTGAAAGGTGGGTCAGGCCTCAATGACAACCTCGTAACATTTGCTGTCACTCTATCAGGTTAATACCTGCACTCTGTGTGCCTGCTGACGGCTTGCGACCTTTGCCTTTAGGAACTGGGGGTAATAACTCAACTTCCTCCTGAGGCATCTGGGCCACCTTCTGCAGAAATATCTTCTCCAGGGCTTGGGCCATGAGGACGATGTCATCGGTGGGCTGCAGAAAGAAGAATACAAGCCCATGCTGTATCATCCACGTATTAGAAACAGAGAGGTTCAAGATCAGGTTTTAAAATCCCCAATGACACTGCCCTTCAAATAACTGATGGTATCCAAGCTCCAACAATAAGCAGACTGGCTCTTCTCCCTCCTTGCATGCTACCTTCCTGTTCTTCTATTCTGGTCTAGTATGCAGTAATTATAGGCTCTAAGTACGCTGCATTCAGAGAATTATCAGGACTTCCAGTAGGAGCCTGATAACCACCATCCTGCTCACCGGCGTGGAAGCAGCAAACTGGAACAGATGAGCTGTCCACCTCTGCTTGCCAGCAGGGCCAAGAGAAGAGCATAAACACATACTCTGCAGCTCAAACTAATTAATTTGTTTATTTCAGCTTGTTCACCACTATGGGTCAGTGATGACAAACATTGTAGAAAACATAATACAAAGAATATAGGCTTTTAACAACCTACCAAAACAGCAAACAAGCCAAACCCAAACTAATAATAAGCAATCTGAAGGTGTGCAAGTATGGACAAGACAAAGGCAGAGAACAGAGTTATACTTCCTGAACTGCTCTGTGCTGCTAAGAGATACTATTTACTGCTAGCCAGCCAGTTACTGCTAGACAACACTAATACCCCCCATAACATCTGCAAGGCACTGCACAAGCTTTAGCTCAACATAAAGAATTCCTAACTGGAAATAAAAGGAGTAAAAACTTACTATATAATACCAAACCAGAAATCTATCTATAATTAAAAGGCACATTTGCCATTTTAACTAGTCTGGAGGAAGAAAAACACAGCACAAAGACAGCTTTGTGCATTTCAAGTAATGTGGTTGTAATTAGGGGCATTTCAAATCCTTGCAAGGAGGGCAAGAGCTCAGCAGAGCGGGCCCTGTTCAAAACCTGCACTCTAACAGTTACAGGTGGGGTCTTTTCTAGGCAGTGCCCCAGCTTCTCTGGGCTCTTTACCTTGTTATAAATGTAACAATTTGTAAACATGGTGTTGAAATCCTGCATACATTCACTGGCACTCCAGTAATAGTTATGTTCCAGGCGCTTCTTGATCGTCCCCATGTCCATGGGATTTTTTATTATTTTGTGATAATCCTGTTGAAGAAACAGGAAAGACGTTACATTTCCTGATATGGGGAGAGTGTTGTTCACATCTCCCTCTAGCCTCAGCTTTCTCCTCAGCCCCCCTCCCAAAAACCACACCCCCAAATTTTTGCGAAAAATGCAAATATAATATCTGCTTTTATTTATTTTCTGATTTGTAGCATTTTAGTCTATCATTATTATGAACTTGACTACAAAGCACCAGGACTCCTTCCACAACCACCAGCCTTCCCCGACTCCCCCCAGTACACACTCAAACACACACACACAAATGGCTAATTAGACATTAGTGTAGTATATGGAAGAAAATGTGCTTTCTGAGCAGTTCTCCCAAGAAGCAGCTTGCAGCCTTGATACCCCTCATGAGGCTGTAGGTGCTAGTTTGGGTTGTGCTGCAGGGTGGAAGAGCACCACACTTCACAGCCAGGCTCACACTGCAGCGATGCTCACCTGGCATCAGAAATTGGGAGCAGGAAGGGCAGCACTAGCTCTGGCAGGGTGGACTGGCTGCTATTTGGGAAACGGCATTTCCACCTCCGTTTTTAAAAGACTGCCTCTGGCACTTACAGAATTTATCAGTGCCAGGACTGGCTAAGACTGTGCTAAACATTTCAGTCTGTCTTTTAAGGGCATTTCAGCCCTTAAAAGGCTTCCACATGTTAACCCAGTTTCTCTCTGGGCTGGTCTCAAGCATCTGCAGAGACTGTGATTAGGCTGGAGACGCTCTAAACGTGCCAGGTTACACGTTGTAATTTTCTCATTCTGGAGAAGAGCAGCAAACTGCACTCTTGCACGTGCACACAAAGCCGTGTACAGCCACTCTCTGAGGCCAACCCTCAAGCATGACCTGAAACACCAATGTTTCCAGGCAAGGCACATGCTAGGGCAGAAAAAGCAACCCTGCTGACTACTGGGCTTGTGCAGATTTAGGCCGCACATGAAAAACAACTATTCTTCCAACTGAATCCTCTACATTTTCTGGTAACCTGCCCGAAATCCACTTCGAAATGCCTGAGAACTAAATCCACAAAAAGAAGTCACAAAGAAGCACAGACCTAGAGAAATATTATACAGGTGTTAAGTGTTTTACTCTTCTAGCACTTTAAATAGTACCTGTCAACATCATTACAGAGTTCAAAAGACTCACAATGCAGTCCATAAAATTGGATTACAACCTGCAGTAACTGGAGCTGTCCTGACCTTACATCCCGGAACCACGCTCCCTCAAATCCTACATGCAACCCTCTAGCTCAGAGCAGCCAGAATTAATATGCAACTGGGTGCCCGGCTGAGCAGAGAGTGGAGTGAAGGGGTTGGTGGTGGTATCTGTCTTTAAGTGAAGCAGGTGGGCAGGGGAATGCCTCTGCTGCTGAGTTTTTCCACGCATAGAGGACACCTCTGAAGAGGTAATGTGTGTGTGGCTCTGTCCCCTGGAAGAAAGCAGCTAATTAAATTTTGATTATTTATGAATAACTGGGCTGTATCTTGTACTGCCTGCTCTGACAGAGTATGTACCATCAAGCACAGGAGGCAGATGGGTAAATGCAACTGTTCTGTTATTACTGATTCCAGAACAGCATTTGCAAATATCTAGCTCCAAAGTATCCTTGGTAATTAGCTTATCCTGTCTTCCTCAACATTGAAGCCAGTGGCAAATCCAGGAAAGCCTATTGAAAACACAAGTAACACTGAGCCCAATGCCAAATGCTCAGAAAAGTGTGGGCTTCAAGCGTCTCTCAAATTGGACAGAGGTGAGACCAAGGGTGAAGACACAGAAAAGTAACCAGAGGTAAACCACAAATGAAGCACTACACTTCAGTTGCTCTAAGACAGCTTGCTCATGTGCTTTTCTCACTGAGTAGTTTTCTCCTTCAGAGACCTGTACCTCTCCAGCTCTGAAGGACATCAACTTCTAATTCTGAGAGTCTGAGAGCATTCAACGAAATCTCCAACAGCATCCTAACCATTCTGATCCAGTGATCAGACAACTAACACAAAGCTTTCCAGGAACAGAATACAGAGCAGAAGATGACGGATACGTACCGGTAAATTCAATTTAATTGCATCAACAGGTTGGTAGAAAGGCCAAGCAAACTGATGCTTCCACAAGGTCTTTACCACAACATTTTGCATATATTGCAATTGGTTGGTCTTCCTGCCAGGCTTATTAGGATTAGTGACCTCCGGAGGTGGTGGATTCACAGGGCCCTGAGGAGCCTGGATTGCTGATGTGACTGTCGACATTTTCCTGCTCTGGCTCTCACTCGCTGTCACAGCGGCAGCAACTGGGAGATTTTCCCTCTTCCTTTATGCTCCCTGAACGGGACTGACATCCCATTTCCAGGGTCCAACCATACAACCTAGATCAAATGAGAGGAAGAAAACAGCATGTAAATACAGTTATTTGCTTGAAGCTGGCATGTTCAAACACTATCAACAGCACAAGTGTCCTAACCCAGGCTCTTTACCCCCACCTGCTTCCTTCCCTGTAACACACTTTATCTTGATGACAGGCACAGTTCAAGACCCAGGAGACAGTGGAACAGCAATTCCCAAATTCAAAGCCTGCAGAGAGCCAGTAAGCTTCATAGGACTGGTCCTTGCTTTATTTGGCTAAGAGGACATCTTTGTGCAAAGAAAAGAGAGGGGTTAGCATAAGAATATGGCCAGGGAATGCAATTAGGAGTCAGAATGTCCCATGAACGTGCTGATCCAAGTTAGCAAATCCATAGCTTGCAGCTCCATGTAAACCTAACTGCACTGTCTCTAGATCCATGCTGGCTGGCACTGGGTCAGCTTACAAGTCCCTGCACTGGTGCAATGGTTAAGCCTGAAATCAAAAGCAGACAGCAGACCTCGACTCATAGAAAGAAAGAAGGGGCTGCAAACAATTGTGAATGAAAAGTATCACCAGAAACATCCTAACCTGAAGTGATCTGCACTTGGAATCTCATAAATGTCTTATTACATCCATTACTACATGTACCTGATTGGGCCCTCAATTTCGTATGGACATCTCAAAACACAGGCTCAATATAAATACAATATTGATTATTATTTATATTCCATGACCTGGCTAAGAGAGCACTGTCATGGTCCCTCTTAAAGATACATATGAAATACAGAAGAATACATAAATGGCATTGTTGTATTCTATTTTTCCCCCAGCAAACTGCAGGGGAAAAAAAATGGTTATCGCTGTGTCTTGTATACCATATGGTAAACAGCTTTGCTATGTCATCTTCCATAAACATTTGATATTTCAATTCACATCAGGAGTTACTCTTCTCATGGCAAAACAGACCACAATCACTTTCTAGAAGCAATTATTTCAAATATGTTCAGAAAGCCCCACAAATATTCTCACTGACATATGCTTCTTGAATGCACAGAGAAACACATGCAGAGACAGAAGTTGCAGTAATACAGAAAGAAGAAGAGAGCAATAAGACTTCCTAGAAAAAAACCAAAAACCTCTTATTTGATACAACCCTCATCGTCTCTACTGAAATCTGGACTAAATATAGAACATCAGCTTACCCTCTGAGCTGCTGATTAGATGATGGCAAAAAGTAAACACATACCTAATTTAGGGGAATTTTACAAAAACAGATGTGCACAGACACAAACAGATCTGCAGCAGAGAGGGATGTTTAAATACCGGTGTTTTCAGGCTTGCCCAGGTAGCAGAGGTGCTTGCATTTTGGAGGGCAGCTGCTGCCCCAGCAGCTCCATAAACAGGAATACAGCAGTACCCTGGTGACACTGTGGCACAGTGAACCACCCCATAAAGCCACCAGTGCCACAGCCATCAGGGACACCCGAGTGCTCTGGGTGCCGCAGCTCCTGGGCACACCTTGCTGTGGACCAGTTTGGCTTGGCTTACAGGTGTCCACACCTCCAGAAACCAGACACAGTTTGTTTTTATAGAGCTAATTGTATAATTATTTTATAGCCCTTCTATGGAAAATGAAATTGCTAAAAACCTAAAACAAATCAGTGTGTGACCATGCACGTTTATGCGTGCAGGGAACAGACCAGAGGAGGTATGACTCTGCCATAACCCATTCACGAGACCCACTGCATTCCAAGGATGTAGAAAAAGCAGAGGTGACAGTAGGACTTTCTTGTGCCACATATATGGCACAAGTATAGATCCATGATCAGGTCTCTGGTCTCTATTCTCTGATAACTCAAGTGCCCAGCTTAGTAGTTCAAAAAGGACAAGTCTCTGTTCCCCAGCACCCTCATCTGATCATGCTGGTGGCACTGCTGTGATCACCAAGCAGCCAAGAGGGATGTTGGCATCCTCTGGGCAAGGAATCTCAAAGCTAGGATCTTATTTGGGATTTCAGGTTTAGCAGAAACCCGGGAATCATTTTCTCCCGATGTTCCGTTAGCAGGAATACCACAAAACACAAATCTTCAGATCAAGGAGGGGGGAATAAGAGAAAGAACTAAAAAGAAGAAAAAAAAAAGATAGTTGGGAAGTTTCACCCCATTTCTTTCTGGGCAGCTCTCTGCATGGATTTCATATCCCAAGGCCTCTGGGCAACATCCATCATCTGAGTGCAGGCAACGCTGACTGCAGGCCCCTGGTGACCATCATTGGAGCATTTTGTTTGCTGTCTTCTTGATTAACAAACTGAATCCAATGCAAGGATTGACGGGAAATAAAACACCCACAGCGAGCAATTCCTACTGCTGTGGAGCATTTCAGTCACAAGTTTGAAACTATGCAGTGCAACTTAAGTCTTCCCTTTAAATAACCTAAGGTTAAAGACAACAATTCTCTTTTCATTTGAATCTCCTGATGCCCTCCTACCTCTCAAACTCCATTTGATAAGGATTTTTTTTAATTAATTTTTATTAAATCTCAGAACTGTAATTGAAAAAACACAGATCCAGCTCCTGCCTCTCCCAGACTCCCTTTCTGACCTTAGCCAAGGCATTCAGTATCTTCACACCACAGCTTCTCCTCTGTGCCATGGAGATAGTGACAGTTCCTCTCTGTCTTCATTCGCTCCACCCAGCCAGCCTGAAAGCTCCCTGGGACATGCACTGCCTCTTCACATGCACATTTTAATCATCAAGTTTAAACAAGGCTTTTACAGTCCACAAGAGAAGCATGTAACAGTCATCAGTGACACAACTCCAAAAGGATTTTAATTAAGAACATTACCAAAAGCAGGAGGGGCAGAACCATGACAGCCAAATCAGCCAGTCCTCTGACAGCTGATCCATTTGTGCATGCTCAACTCATTGGTTATTACAACCAAAAGTGGCTACAAACCCCAAACCTGTTAACAGAGCTGTCATTTAAACGCTGGATCCTGCTGCTGAGACAGGAACAGCTACCTGGGCTATCTCAGCAGCTCTGAAGTATCTGCTCCTGGCATCAACACAGCTTTAATGTGCATGTGCCTCACTGTACCTTTTTAACCCTTGGTTCCTCAGCTTCCTCATAATTTGCTGGGGAAGCTGCTTTGATATCAGATCATTCTTTAATTTTTTTTCTACAGCCATTCCTCTATTTCTAAAGTTTCAAAGTAATATTTTTAAGAACATAAAAAGCAGGATTATAAGGAAGCTGGAAGCTGAAGGTGCAAATGCCAAAAAAATAAGTGCATGACATTGAATTTAGAGAGGCCATGGCCCTGTCTGAGAAATCCACTCGTTGTCAGACCTCATTTATCAAATGAGGAAAGTGAGAGGCATGACCATCTGACATCCTCACTTACCATACAAATCATCCAGCACAACAGTTAAGTAGACCCACACACAGAAAACAAGCAAGCTTACACAAATTGTCCCGTATCTGCAAGTAGAATCAAACCACACAGCTCTGGTCTAAGCACTTCAGCATCTACTGAAACTGCATTAATCACAGTAATTATTTAAACTGTTAGGGAGCCCAGTTGTGAAGCAGGACATCACTGTACAAGGTACTGTACAAACCTGGAACGAAAACTGGCAAAACCAGCCTTGGCACAGACATCCTGTGCACCTTCCAGTGAGGGCCTAAGCTTGGACTTCTTTTAGTCCTGGAGTAATAACTTCTTAAATTTAAATTTTTAAATTACTGCTTATCCTGTTGCCCAGACCTGTAATGTTCAAGTAACAGAAGCTGTTCTTGCTTTTCCTGGCTGCACATGTACAGCTTTGATATCGCATAATTAAAGTACACCCATTTGCTGTCACACATGAAGGGTGTACACTGCTTCCCACATTGTGCATTTCTCCTCCTCGGACTCATCCCAGTCTGAGGCCATATTTAAAAGCAAAACCCAAACCTAAAATCTCAAATAAATCTGGCTTCTCTGGAGTTTAGGTCTGTCTTCTTGTGCTAAGTTGCAACCTCAGTGTGGCACGCAGCAAAGCTATGAGGTTTGGCTTAGCCCTCAGCCAAACCAGTCACCAAAAAAGCCCAGCTAGGTTGGAAGGATTTTTTTTAACTTTTCTTTAATTGAGTTGCTTGCACGGGTCAGTCAGTAGAGAGATGGCTGGCATGGAGAAAACCTGTTAATTCCCTGCACCAGCAGGATAACATTTTACTCAGCTGATGCAGCCCACAGACTGTCTGCAGTGGTGGAGACTATTTTAAAAGAAGCTATGAAGCCCCATGAAGTGTGCGCTGTGCCAGTGAGCCTGCTGCTTCAGCTAACGGTTCTGCCACTTCCTTTGGCAGTGCCAAGCATTTAACGGATGGCTCACTCCCTTGCTGCTCTTCGTGCAGTACAGGATGGTATTTGTTTTGATTGCAAAATTAGAAAGTAGCAAGCTTTATGTTAGCATGTGAGCCCAGCAACTCTTTTTTTCTCCCCGCGGTATAGTATTTCTGCACGGTTGCTTGGACACTTAGCAAAAACTGGCACAATTCCAGTCCAGGCAGGAACAGCAATATAAATCTTCCTATCAGGGCAAATTATCAAGTTTAAGGGATGTTCCTTGACCTCATCTCTATCTCCACATTATTATCTACATTACAGTAGCACACAGAGGCTGTGCAGAGCCCAAGGTTCCTCAGGACTCTGCAGACACACAGCAAGACCCTGTTCCTACCTCAAAGAGATGGTGCTCACAACTCAGGCTCGCGCTGCGGTGAAGTGACATGCCCAGGGCCACCCAGGTTTTGTTATCCAGTCCCCCAAATAGCCCCTCTAAAGCAGCTCTGCTCACAAGGGCACGAAAGGCAGCATCTGAGCCTTTCTGAATGTAGGATGGAGCCAGCAGCCAGAACCACGCTGAGAAAGCAGGGCAGCTGGAGCAGGCATCCTCACGCTGCTGCTCCAAGCATTTCTCCCCCGCATAGGCTCCTTGCAGCCACCATAGCAGACACTCAATCCCTGTTTCCCGACAGG